AGGCAGAAATGGAAAAAATGGATAATTTTCTATTTTTTTTTTTTTTTCTTTTTTTTTTTTTTTTTTTTTTAACAAGTCGGCCTTCTCCCACCGAGGCAGGGTGACCTAAGAAGAAAGAAAATCCCCCCCCCCCCCCCAAAAAAAAATACTTTCATCATTCAACACTTTCACCTCACTCACACATAATCACTGATTTTGCAGAGGTGCTCAGAATACAACAGTTTAGAATCATATACAGTGGAACCTCTACTTACGAGTGCATCCGTGTGAGTTTTTCCAGATATGAACAACTGCTCGGTCGATTTTTTGCTCCCAGACGCGAGCAAAATCTCCAGATGCAAGCGGGCCTCAAGGAAGGTTAATTAACACTGATGAGGGGGTTCTTGCTCTTGATCTAGGGAATTGGATCTCAGTTGTTTGTTGGACTATCTTATTGAAACTTGGGCAATGTGTGATGAAAAGATGCTTCTTAACGTACACCAAAAATGAAAGAAATTGGACCATAAATAAACGGAGTTCACTTCTCAGCCATTAGCCTCCCGTTAGCGGTATATTTTTGTATGGTTTTTATGGTTGTATTCTCGTTTTATTTGGTCTCATGTGATAGAATGGAAGATATACTACAAAAATAATTATGATTTTAATTGGTTTCACATTGAAAAGTACCTTGAAATTGAGCTCAAAATAGCAGAAATGTTCGATACTTTGGCGACATCAGTGGCAGACATCATGAGGTGGCAGACATCATGAGGCAGCAGTGGCAGACAACATGAAGCAGCAGTGGCAGACAACATGAAGCAGCAATGGCAAAGTGTAGCATTAAGAGTGTAGCAGTTTAGTGTAGCAGTAAGAGTGTAGCAATTAAGTGAAGCATTAAGAGTGTAGCACTTGTAAGTCACTGACTTTTTTGGGCTATCCTAGGTTCTCTACACATGTAGTCAGAGCAAGAGTGGCCTCTGTGGTGGCCCTATAAGCCCCAACAACAATGGCTGCTGTCACCACCACTAGCCACATACTTAATGACTTGTATTTTATTCATTCTAGTGTATATATCATGTTTCTGTTATTAATATTGTTTATTATGTCATATTACATGAATTGTGATAGATAAATAAGCTGTAGAGTTGTTATTAGGGAAATTATTAAAGTATTTTATCGTGCCTGGAATTCCACTAAAGGAATTAATTCCATTTCAGTTAATTCAAATGAGGAAAATTGACTCTGCAAACGAGCAAATCCAGTTGCGAGAAAGGTCATGAAACTGATTAAACTCGCAAGTAGAGGTTCCACTGTACGTATAAAGATACACAACATATCCCCCCAAACTGGTTGCCTATCAGTAAAGACAGATAATTGAAACCCATGTGTACTAAATATACACAGTGCCTTAAGACTTTTAAATATTTTAAATAATTTTTGTACTGCATACTTGTGTATTTAACTCGTATATTAGATTATTTTGTAAAGGCTTGATAATTTTCATAGATGAAAGTAAGTTGACATTAATGGTGCAGCCTGTATATCCAATTTCAGGCTTACAGTGATCTGCAACCCTTCACCGATTTGTACCGTTATCCTCCTGGAACAGCCTTTGATTTGACCTCTGCTCCTGTCGTCCTTCACCTGCAGAGAGACCTCTCATTATTAAGTCTTATCACTTCTGCTGGAGACTCTCTGGAAAACTGTGATTTCAAGAAGGTACACCTGTTTTAATGTCTTGTATTTCTAGAAGTGAGCTATAAGCTCTAGCTGCCACTTGAATTGTCTTGTGCTGCTAGTGAAGAAATGTATATGGTAGTTTCATATTTTATTTTCCTATGAAAGATGGTGTTTAGGAATTTCCATGAATATTTTAAGTGTTAAGGACTAGAATTAATAATTATTAGTCTGTTGATTGAATGGTGGACTTTTTTTTTGGGGGGGAGGATGGGAGGGGGATCTCATCCTATCTTGGTGGTGGAAGATGGGCGATGTTAAAAACTCGATGACATACGTACACTGATTTGTCTGGGAGCTTCCTTGGATGGGTAAGCTTAAGCAGCAGATTTTTCAATGTCACTTTTTGCATGGTAATGAGCATTTTACGATTCTGCTAAAGAATTGAACACTTTTTTGTGCTGACTTGTATGTTGGTTGCTTCCACTAGGAAACCTGAAAAAATATAGAGTAATATTACAAACTTTGAAAAATTCTTGGATAAATAATAGCAATTGCTTTAATTTGTAATATAGCTAGTGTTGACATGCCTACCCTCCCTCCCCATAAGTAAATTAAACAAAAAGTATTTGTGTTTTGCAAGAACTGTAGCCTAATAAAAAATATTTTAAGAATTGGTATTACTGTCTTGTGTTAAATATTCATTTTTTTTTTTTTTTATGAATCGTTAAATATTTCAGATTCACAATGTGATTATGGCAGGAAGAGGTGTTCAGGACGCAAAGGATCTGTGTCAGTCGCATGCTCAGGCAGCACTCGACGTTCTGCAGGATGTCTTCGAGCCTTCTGATGCTCGCACTGCCTTGGAAAACATTATCAATGCACTTAGAATCTATTAGTCATAATTTTTTTGTCAAAATGGCTATTGAATTGTCAGGCACTGAAGAGTATTTGGGTACAGCTCTTATAATAGAGTTTGACATCCTTTATTATTCTACCTAATGTCCTATATACAGCATAAGAGGCTGTTGGTATGGGCACATGCATGGATGTCTTCTGGCCAATTAATCATTTTTTTTTATCTCATTTGTAAAATCATTGTGACTTGTGTAATTATTTTTTAATATGTTAGTCAATCAATTTTAATAGTATTAGGCACAAACAATAAAATTTTAAATATATCGTTAGTTCTATTGATTAATTATAAAGTTGTATTGTTTGGCTTCTGCTTTTAACCGAAATATTTTAGTCATTATTTAATAAATTCTGGTGACAAGCTTGTTTTATCTTCATTTGTGTTGAGCCATAACTGCATAATAGCACTGAGGCTATTATGCAGTAATGGCTCAACATGCACGTACAGTATAGTAACTATGGCAAAGTTATCTCGAAGAAAATTTAAGAATGAAGTGTAAAAAAACAATGCTAGACATGAGTGAATGTCAGTCTTTCACATTGGTATTCATAAGTATAGTACTTTACGTTGATGTACTCTGAGGATTTTTCCTTATTTTTTATTATAAATGGAGAGGTCAGAAGACTTCAGTGTTGTCACTGTTTATTCTATGTAATAATAATAGATGTTGAGAGGGTTGTATATGACCATGTGGCAGACATTTATTTTTAATTATCTGAGCTTCCAGCCATTGTGATACTGAATATATTAATAACTAAGCATTTGTAAAGAATTTAGTACCAGTTTTTCCATGGCTTATGATAAAGAATATTTGTGCTATTATCCACTTTCCCTTTCCCTCCTTGATGGAAGTGGGCAATACTTGCCAGTTTCATATAGATGTTCACTTGTTAATTCTGGAATAAAATGCTTTTCTCTTTACAGCCATTCACTGGAACAAATGGTCATGACACCTTTAATCCCTTAAACTTTAGAAGGCATTGTGTACATTTCTAATTATTACCTGATGTAATTTACCCCACCCCCGTCTCCGCAGGCTAAACATTAAGTGCTGCTCTCCCTTTGCTGTGTCATATTCCATGCAAAAACTGTTAATTTGTTAAAATTTTCCTTAGCACTGATATGCTTGCAGAGCCTGATTTGTCTTGCCGCTATTCTACCACAGATTTCCGACAGGTATAATTTATCATATTGCAGTTATTGACATATTTTATACCAATGAGGCCAGAAGTGAAGTAGGTTTTAAAATTCCTGTTTAGTAGAATATTTGAAAAAAAATATTTAATGGATATAAGCAAATTTTATCTAATGTACATTACTACATGCCTTTTTGTTTAGAACAATGTAATAAAAAATAATTGAATTATTTATAATTTATCTTTTGAATATGTATATTTTTATTAGGATATTTGTAAAAATACACTGACACTTCATTGAAAATTTTTATTTAAACATTTTATTAATTGCTTTCATTAGAACTTCTACTTTATATCAAAATAGGTTTTAACACGGTGCATTGAGAGAGCCGGCACTTGTGTGACTTAAGGGGTAGGGCGCCTAGAATTGATGTCTTGCAGACTGGAGGGTAGGAAGGGGGAGGACCCTGGTACTGATTATGCTTGATGGTGATTTTCCTCAGATACAACTGCAAGTTGTGTGAGCATACGCTTGCATTTTCAATAATCTGCGATTTAAATTCGGATCTTCATTTCTAGTAGTATCGCATCATTTCCATTATAATTTCCCTTGGTGCACATTACTCAGCTTTTCCTTCACCCCATCATGTAAAAAAGAAAAAAGGGTCTATATAATAGACTTTCAGGAGGAGACATTTGTCTTGTCTCTTGATTATTATAAATTTGCCCCATCTCATCTCTGGCTATTTATCATGGGAAGTACAGTGCCTACATTCTGAAGGAGGGGTGGGAATATTGCAGTTTGGAGGGATGTCTGAGCTGTAGTATCAGTACACCGATTGCAAGACAGTGGTGAAAGTGATTTTTTTTTTTTTGTCAACCTACCTTGGTGGGAGACAGCCAGTTAAAAAAAAAAAATACACACCAAGTGCAGGTGACACTGGTGAAGCAAGGAAGAAAATTAAAAGTGTGAAACTATACCTATTTAGAAAAAAAAAGAAGGTAACTGAGATGCTGAGTGGTGATGCATGTTTCGTGGAGACTGCACAGGTGTTAGGCATTAGACAATCCAAGATTACACATCAGCATATTAGGGCCACAGCCACCCTCTCCACTCTAGGATGTTAGGCATCGCCTATCTGACTTGAAGGTAAGTAACAAATGTTGTACAGCATGTTAAAATGCCCCTAAAGTATCTTCTGTGTAACTAATATAGTACTGTACACCAATTTAACTGAATTTATGAGGGAAAAAAGGTGGTGGTGTTAGGTAATGTGGAGTCAAAAAACGCTTTTTGGAGGCAAAAAGGGAAGTTGAAAATTAGTGGGACCAACCT